GCGGCGCGCTGGCTGCTTCTGGTGCAGTGCCCTTGTCAGGAACGATTCTGTCAGTAGAGAGGGAGGGAGATAGAGTGCGTTTATCAGGTGATCAAGCAAGCATCAAAAAAGAGCCAGGCACCGGAACTATACGAAGAAACGACCCCACCCTTTGAGAAAGCCCGTACACCGTCCGCGCCGATAGAAGAGGACACGGTCCTCTTCTCTTATTATTAATATTTTTTTTTGTTTTAAACGCGGTTAGAAAAGTGCTCCGTTCCGTTCGCTGCCTGTATGTTCCCGGAACGGGGGTGCCTTTTGAACGAAAGGAATTTCAGCGGCTGTTGCCCCACACTTGTACAAACATCGACTTCTTGTATACGCCTTTTTGGAACTGGTTTTGTAAAGCGTTCACTAGAAGGTCTGAGAAGGGCGGTCAAGGGAAGAATGGGTGGGAGCCGGGAATGCAGTTTGAGAGGGACGCACTGTGCAGGTGAGACGTGCCACCGTGTCGTGGCGTTGGTGAAGTGGCACAGGCACTGGGCTCGTTTACCTGCCGAAGACTCGAAGGTTTTCTTCCAAGGGGAGAGAGGTCCTTCGACCATTATGGCTGTCGGATGAGGCAATACTGAGAACGTTGGTTTTTCCATTCCGCCCTCTTTTATCTCTCGCTTCGCTTTGAGCACTGCGAAAAATTGATCTACGATGGTGCAATCGCCACGTTTATCAGCTTGTGTCTATGTAAAAGCAGAACTTTCCGCCTTTGAACAGAAGATATCGAAATATAACAAAAGGATTTTTTTTTTATCCCGTCACATACTCCCCGAGGTGTGTGGAATCGTTCTTTTCTTCAAAAAAATATTCTGTCGGTTTTTAACGACCATCAGCTGTTGCATGCATTGTTTCTAGTACATATACTTTGTGAAGCAAGATGTTCCTACGTGGTCTGCAGGTGTTTTTGTTGATTTTCCACTGAATGTGTCCTATATCTCATCAATTATTAGCTTGCCAGCTAGGCAAGTACATCCTGCTTCATTAGGAACAACGTCTTTCTCACCTGTTCACTTGCATAGAGAAAAGGCAGGGAGGTTAACCAAGCTTTGGCTCGGTTGGCTATACCATACACGCATGGTGGTGGAAAGGGGGACTAATAAAGCAGTGTGCTTAGCGTTGTAGCGTAGTTTTTTATATCGAAGCCCATCAGTGGATCTTCTATTTACAATACGAACGATTGCTCAGCAGTTGATAAGATAGAAATTATGTGCACAAACTTTGGCCATAACGGCTAGGCTGCGTAAGGGAGCTTCAAGTGGTCATATCAGTTTCGCAAACTACAGAACTTAGGTCGAATCTTAGATGTTACATGAAAGAAAATCAAGCAATAAAAATTCACACAATATTCCCTGCTAATAATTCACAGATAGCGATAATGCAATCATGATTGCACAATGCAACAACCTAAGTTACAAGTAACAGCTATAAGCGACTTGCGTTCTTGTTTCTCAGTTTCAGGGGACACTGACAATGTAATTACTGTCAGCCAAAGTTGAAAAAAAGGAAAAAAAAAACCTTAAGAAGCCATGTTTTTTTCATTTCTTTTTCAGTAACTTGTACATAAAGACATTTTTCTTCATGCTCAAAACTGGACAAAAGTACAAAACTGCACTCTCACGATCACGAATACCAGCACTGGTTCCCTATGCAGGTGTCATCGAGTGCTCGTGTTTTTAAACTATCAACAAGCACACCGCAACAACTCAGCCATTCACGAGTGCCTCTCAGTCGGCCTCATTGGATTTTCTTATTCTGCGAGTGCTAGCTTCTGATGCCTCGATAACGCATTGCTTAGTAGGCCTGCTAACGATTGGTTACTTCGAATAGCTGAGCGCTGTCTCGTCGTTGCGCTGGCCCTGCAGTAGTTATCTGCGGCCTAGAAACAGTAGTGACGTCAGGGTTTTCTGACCGCGAACAGAGGAAACGAGGAAAATCGTGGCGAATTATCGAAGAACGCGACGTTGTACGAGCCAGTGTCTTATGCGGAAACGTTCGGTGACGTAGCCGTGACGTCTATGCAGGCGTCCCAGTTCTCGCGCGCTGCGCTGTGCCTCACATTCGAGAGAGTTATGCCATTTCACTGCTTCGACATGCAGAGTTCGCAAACGCCCTCTCAGTGCGCGACGTCTTGCTCAGGCTGGATAGGTTGGATTGTGAATGAAATGGCGGGTGCCGTTTTCGCTAATTTAAGAAGGATTGCGTTCTTTCTTCTGACGACGACGTAAGTTGTGTTTGCGTTTCCTTGAACAAAGTGTCGTATAAAGCGCTACTGCGCGGATAAATGGTTGTTCCCAGCAAAGGTGCGTGCTATATTGTTTGAGCACGCTGTCGAGAATACTGGCATGAAGCTCAATGAGCAGCGTATGCGGCATTTGCTCGTTGTAAGAATTACTTGTTATCACCTAAACGACTGGAGATTGCTTCTCCTGGCGTGTTATCGTTGGCTATTCTTATTAATAGGCGGACAGAACCAAGCTCATCGGCCCTGAAGCATCCCCTGAGGTGTTATAGCTTCAATATCTATGCGTCCTCCGTTCAATATAGGGACAGCGGCGTATATTAGGCCATATTTGTATATTTCACTGCGTAAACAAGCGCATACTTGGCGAGCTTATACTTCAATGGTTGCTTTTCGCAAGGATGATAATTTAAAACTATTGCGAAGCCAAGACTTTTTCGCATTGAAATTAGTAAGGCGATTTTTTTAAACGTTTTTCATGAAATTTGTACACACAGCAAATGTTATATCATCATCATCATCATCATCATCATCAGCCTGACTACGTCCACTGCAGGACAAAGGCCTCTCCCATGTTCCGCCAGTTAACCCGGTCCTGTGCTTGCTGCTGCCAATTTATACCCGCAAGCTTCTTAATCTCATCTGCCCACCTAATCTTCTGTCTCCCCCTAACCCGCTTCCCTTCTCTGGGAATCCAGTCAGTTACCCTTAATGACCAGCGGTTATCCTGTCTACGCGCTACATGCCCTGCCCATGTCCATTTCTTCTTCTTGATTTCAGCTATGATATCCTTAACCTCCGTTTGTTCCCTAATCCACTCTGCTCTCTTCTTGTCTCTTAAGGTTACACCTACCATTTTTCTTTCCATTGCTCGCTGCGTCGTCCTCAATTTAAGCTGAACTCTTTTGTAAGTCTCCAGGTTTCTGCTCCGTAGCTAAGTACCGGCAATATACAGCTGTTATATACCTTCCTCTTGAGGGATAGTGGCAATCTACCTGTCATAATTTGAGAGTGCTTGCCGAATGTGCTCCACCCCATTCTTATTCTTCTAGTTACTTCAATCTCGTGGTTCGGCTCTGCGGTTATTACCTGCCCTAAGTAGACATAGTCTTTTACAACATACATACATAGTTTTTACATAGTTTTTTATATTATAGTACACTTCATTTGCGAAAAATGGCCAGTAGGAATAGTTAAACAAGAACGATCGTGAATCTCTACTCAGGAACATTTTTTTATAGTTTTATAAATATGTGCGCGCTATGTACGGCCGTAAAATGTTCTATAAAGTCGTCAGCTCAGTTCTGACTATAAATTTATAAGATAGTCATCGTACCAATATACTGCTATTTTGGCATGAATGTATCGGCGTAATTAAGCACTGGGCAGTTGCAGTGTTCCTCTGCGGTTGCAAGACCATTATTTCATTGCGTCTCGTTTTTGTTACATATTCGCGGACATTAAACTTCAAGCATACCCTGATTCAATGTAATGATAAATATTTATCTGAGCTTGTTTCGCTGTTGCTTCTTTTCGTCCATGCTTGTCTGGCCACCACGAAAGCTGTTTTTCTCTTCTTTTTAAATCGACATTGATTGAGAAATTATTCCACAAATTTCATTGCTGTACGAAGAGTGTACAATGAGTGTTGGGTCTTCTGCCAAGCATTAAGCTTCCCTAGTCCACGTGCTCTAGTCCTAACATTATTTAGTTTTTTTTTTGTACTAGGAAACAATAAAAAATGTTTTGAAATTGAATTGAATAGAAATTGAGTTACAGGCTTTGCAACAATTTGTATATAAGATAACTGCACGTATCACCACACCTGTCATTGGACTGTGTGCTGCAGTATAGGTCATATGTCCAAAATTGGCTGCCCATTTTCAATAAGCAGTGGCTCCTACAAATGCCACTCCGCTAGCCCTTCTACAGCTGTCAACATCTCGCAAGGGGACCTCGAAATATTGCGCGAAAGTTGGCCAAACCTTTCGGTCACGTGGTCTGCACCTCTTCACCCCTCGCCTTTCTCACCTTTTATCCTGGTGAGCAAGTTCACTACATATTTTCTTCCCCTACTCTTCCTCTCTCTTTTATCTGTCTGTATTACGCTCTCCCATATTCCCAACGTAGAGTTACAAAACAGACGCTTTTCAGGTTCACCTGCCGACCTTCTGCTTTTTTTCCCTTGCTTTTCGGTTCCATAGTGCACATAACGAGATTCTTAGATGTTTTCCCTTTTATGGCTATACAGTGTGAATGGTGGTTATAGTCTTGACTCCACTTTTATAACAATCTAATAAACACTACATTGATATTGCTATGACTTCGCAAGCTATTTTCAAGCGTAGCTGGACCTCGGAGGAGTACGCTAACGAAATTTACGTATGGTATCCACATAATCGTACCGTAAAGGGCACCTTGTTTTGGTAGGTCTGTGCTCTAACTTCAGTTCTGACGTTACGTCACAGCATAAGTTGCCGCCTAAACGGCCGTGTAGTCCTTGTTTCCGATAAGTCCACAATGTGCGCATTTACAAAAACATGTTTATTTCCTTTATAACGGTTGCCTCGAAGTAGAATAAAAAAATGCACTCTATAGAATCACTGGCCGGCTGCTTCGCATGACGCCGATTACCGCAAGGCGTGGGACCCGCCGAACTGTTCAAGTGTACTCATTTCTAAGGATTAATCAGTCGCCTAATCATTCATCTGATGCTCTTCTCTCGCAGGAGATGCATCATGACGATCAGCAGCTGACCAACGACCTATCCGCTTCGTCCGACGACGCGATGGAGTCACTAACGGACAACACACTGGCCGTCGGCTCTCCTCCTTCCCCGGCAGCGACGGCACCCGAAGGGGTCGTCAACCCGGCGTTCGGTCGAGGAAGACGAGGTGCGCAACAACCTGCGAAAGAGCAGCAGTCAGCACAAGAGCCTCGAGGAGGAGAAGAACGCTGTGAACCAGCAGCAGAACGGCAAGATCCTCAACCACCACCGGATCCAGATTCCGGACGACGCGGTCATCAACTACGACACGGCGCGCACGCGCAAGTCCCTGCAGCGCAACGGCGACGTGGTCGCGCTGGACGTGTTCGCGGACTCGGCCAAGGCGCAGGAGGCCCTGATGGGAGGGCTGGCCAATGGCGGCTCCGAGGGCGTGCGGCCGGTTTCTAGTCCCCTGACCAGCGGTGGCAGCTCGGCGGCGGCCGGCGACGCCGGCACCAAGATGTTCGAGGAGTATTTCATACCCGTCAACACGCACAAAAAGTTCCTCCGGTGAGTGAAACGACATTTCTACGCGGGCCCGCCAGTTGCCGAAAAATCTCCATCCACTCGAAGGTACTGCAGGCGGACAATGATACCAGGACTGAGATCATCTTAACTACCATAGCGTTACAGTGACACCTTCTTAGTCAAGCGATGTTGTCTTGAGTGTATTTCGTAGTTCTGGTCTTACTACTCGCCTCAATTCCTTCTAGTCGTCTATCGTTCAGTCTGAGAGTGGACGCTTGGTGTCAAACCTAGACTTGAAAGGATGTGCCAAAACAGGCAGAGGCACCGAGGAGTATCGCTTGTTCTAGAGATGGATATCGAAATGTCATAGTCCCTCACTAAGGCCTCTCAGCATCAGAAGCAAGGTGCATATCACTCGTGAGGCTTGTTGGTGACGACCAACTTTTTGTAGTGAATGATCTCGATACGATTCTGGATTTCCCTTCCTGCTTAGCAGGCAGTGAACCAAACAGAAGTGCGTCTAATTGACCTCGAGGCACTCTTTAACTTATTTCTCAATCTATCCATATGCTTATCTTGTAAAGTTATATTTTTTGGAAGCGTTTCCTCTTACTTAGCGCGATGACACTGTGGCTGGGATTATGAACGGAGGAGAGAGAGAGAGGATTAATGACAACTAAGAAAATTGCAAAAACTAAGTAGGGAGCAGAGGAGAAATAAATCAAAGGGAATCATATTGGTATAGCTATGGAGACAAAGTGTAAAAATGCAGGAAAGAATGTATACAGACTAGTGCTGTGTAATTCGATGTAAATCTCGTATAGTCTCTCGCACAGTCTAGGATTTCTAAATAAGTACTACAACAAGGCTCTTTAAGCCTCAAGTGCTGCACCAGGTCAGAACCAGGCAGCCGGGACGTCCCTGTTGAGGATCGCTCGTCCAGGTTATCAAACAAAGCCAAAAATCACATATCTGGCGACTCTCGGGTAGCGTAAATGGTCACAGAGAAAGTTCCACACCGTCACCTCGTAGCCGACACTTCTGTAAGCAGTTTTTTTTTTTTAATTCTAATGCGGAAGTCGTGTGCATTCATGAATGCGACGTTGAGCCACTGTCATCACAGAAGTGCCCGTTGCGCTCGTGGTGGAAGGCGGAATCGCAGACGTAGATTCGATCCGTAGAGAAGGGCCTTGGTAAATTCATTCGAGTTACTCCAAAATTACGTGACGCTTACGCTAACATGATATCACACAAGAGTCCAATCAGGCAGCCGCTGTTAGTTAATCAGCCGAGAAAGTTTGGACTGCCATTATTAAAGTGGACGGTGGCTTGCAAGGCTGTGAAAACATAGAGCTAACAACTATATTCGAAGAAGTAACGCCCCTTCGGACACCATTTTGACAGGGACATTTTACAGGGTAAGGATGTTTTCGAAGAGCAAACTTACCCGGCAGCGTTCACATACTATGTCTTCTGTGGGACACATTAATGCAAGCACGAAATTTGCTCGAGAAGTACTTTGGTTTGGGCTAGCTGGTCTCTACTGTCCTTTTCCCTTCCCTTCTTGGTCTCTATACTGTCCTTCTTTTCCCCGTGTTTTTTGCGCTTCCCTTTCTATAAGTAAGCACGAAATACTTCTTGCGATACTCGTAAGATCATTAAGCAAGATAGATAAAAACGTTCAGAGCAGCAATCTGCCATTCGTTGTACGTCCTGATAAAAGCGTCAGTGTTCTGACAAATCACGGAATTTTTTTTTACCTTGCGACATCCAACGTATAAGCCTTGCACACCACACGAATGACCTTCCTACAAGGTCGAGAGTGAATAGACAACGCTGTAAGTCGTTTAAATAGGTCGCCGTGCCGTAACCAGTTGAGTGGGAGCTTCGCTACTAACAGCATTGCCAGTTCAGAATCCCTCTCCTGAAGCTCTTGTGGTTCTGAAGCGTTACTAGTTGTAGCTTTTCATAACAAGACAACACCTATTCAAAACTGCTCGAAAATAAACAAATGAAGACGAAGCACGCAGCTCTCTTTCGCACTTTTGCAAGCATCAGTCAGTGCATTGAGAATCGTTGCATCTTTTCTCCACCGGCGTGCAGTCTTGCTCGCAACATGGTGGTAACGCTTGACTTGCTGCGACCACAGCGGGGAAAACACGTGATTTAGAAGCCGTGTCCGAGTACTGAGAACGGCCGTGCAGTCTTCTGACGTCATTCTGCGTCCCTTGTGTAGTCGTACATGTACGCGGCCTTGTCACGTAATGATGAGCCACATCGCTGCTACAGACCTTACGGCACCTCGCGCAAACAAGCTAAGAGAGAGAGAGACAGCCTACTGACTATGTCGCGTGAAGGTGTCGTTTACAGAGTGCGATTCGTTCGCTTGTCGTGGCTCATTCTATGAGCGGCACCATTCTCTGGCGCGCGCGCAATAATAAAGAGACCTAACACGCAACCGAATTGCACGGTGCGAAGCACGGCGGGAGCGAAACGCTTGATTCCAGCGCGCGCGCGCGCCACATTTACACCGGTCGTTTTCAGTTGCAAGGGAGCCAAGGCCGCCAAGGTTTTCTCGATTGACTCGCAGGTCTTCTTCCCATTTTGTTGTTGCTTTTCAGGGCGGCTGCAATCGCGGACCGTTTTTCTGCCAAAGCCAACCTGTTGATGCGCTTCCCCGCTCCTTTTTTTCCGAATATATATATATATATATATATATATATATATATATATATATATATATATATATATATATATATATATATATATATATATTATTTTACCCTCCGCCTTCCACTAATCTCGTCCCAACCAGCGAGATGATGTGTTCTAGTCTTCCCTCCTTTCCCACTGGGGTCGTTGTGACGTGAGCAGGGAAGTAAAATGTCCAAGCTTCACGCTTCGGTGACTTGGCACGCTCGCTTGACAGATTTTCGCGATGAGCGTTCGATGGTGCACGGCGGCACTACCTTGTTCCTCGTGCGAGCTTCGGCCCGCCACTATTCCTCGTCTGACGCTGAGAGGGATGTTATTGTTGTCGCCGGCGTGGCTGCGTCGATGGACTCTTCTCCTGACGAAGGTCTCGAAGACTCTTTCTTGAGGTTTATTTTGCAAGTGAAAAGTAGCGAAAGTGACGGGTGTAAACCTATTTCTTTCTTTCTTTCTTTTTTTCTTTCTTTCTTTCTTTCTTTCTTTCTTTCTTTCTTTCTTCCTTTCTTTCTTCCTTTCTTTCTTTCTTTCTTTCTTTTTTTCTTTCTTTCCTTTTCTTGACATTTCTTTGGGTTCGTTTGGACGTCACAAAGGAAACAGTCGTTTCTGAGTACTTGGGGCTGTCCCATTTATTTAATGGTGTTTATAAAATGATTTTCGTATCCGCCTCTTATTGTTCTGTGCGTACGGATTGAATAAAAGCAGACGTCTATTGACACGTTAGAAACTAGTCAAATTTAGTTCTAAATAAGTCGCCTACTTTGCCCTATTATTACAATGGGCCACATCTGCTGTGATGGATATGGGGAGAATCGGATGGTACGCCCAAAAGAATGCAGAAGGGCATCAGAAATAGAAATGAAACAGGAAAGCAAAGCTACACGCTCGTACCGCCTTCCTTTCCAATCATGGTGCAGCTGCTTTCCTGCCCTATTTTCACTCCACCAAACGAGATTGATAATTCAACCATGTTTAACGCGTTTCCGTAAAACGGCAGATAAATTTACCGCATATTTGCTCCTCGTAAAAGCCAATAATTACTAGTGAGTTCCTTACTGATAGCTTTCCGCCCCATACTAAGCAAGGAAAGAAAACTGTTAATTTGATATTGGGTTTGCAAAGGACGCAACAATCATTAGCAGACGAAGAAGGGAGAGAGATAGGGCAGAGAGTACGCAATCGGTAGAAGCATTTGGATGCAATCATCCTCCCAAGATTGCAGTACAGTCTTTGTCGTTTTGCCAGACACTAAGTGTGTCTAAAACGTCCTATAACTGCCCCGCCGCGGTGGTCTAGTGGCTAAGGTACTCGGCTGCTGACCCGCAGGTCGCGGGTTCAAATCCCGGCTGCGGCGGCTGCATTTCCGATGGAGGCGGAAATGTCGTAGGCCCGTGTGCACAGATTTAGGTGCACGTTAAAGATCCCCAGGTGGTCAAAATTTCCGGAGTCCTCCACTACGGCGTCTCTCATAATCATATGTTGGTTTTGGGACGTTAAACCCCACAAATCAATCAAATCAATCAACGTCCTATAACTGGTACAACTGTCAGTTCAAGCGCACGAATAAACAGAAAGGAAGAGAGGACAAGCGCTTTCTTGCAACTAAACTGTTTATTTGAAAAGGCAGAATATATATACAGGCAATTGAAAAACACAACGCATGCGTGTGCAGACAAAAAAGTACATCCGTGGCACATCGAGAACACAGGGTAAAAGAAGAAAGATGATCTCGGAACATAATATAGAATGCGTTGTGTTTTTCAATTGCCTGTATATATATTCTGCCCTTTCAAAAAAACAGTTTAGTTGCGAGAAAGCGCTTGTCCTCTCTTCCTTCTTCCTTTCTGTTTATTCGTGCGCTTGAACTGACAGTTATACCATGCATATCCAACTAGCCCAACTTTAGATTCTGTTGTCCTATAACTGAAGCGACACCCTTTTTTTTTATGAATTCAACTTTTCACACTCTTGCAATCTAAACTCGGAATTGGCGTGCCGTTAGCAGTTGTTCCACTTGGCTTGCCACACTTTTTTTTTCACACTGATTCTTTCGCTAAAATTCAGAGTAATGATTAAGATCATTCTTAATAGAAAAACCGTCCAGTACTGCGCTACATTTCTTGAGGACATATTGAGTACAGTGAGGGATGTATTGTGTATTTGATAAAGCTCCATACAAAATTAAAGCCTTCTGCCACCCTAAAAGACGAAGGATATTAAGACTGTCAGTTTACGTCTTTTTCTTTCTACGTGTTCCTTTTCTGATATTCTTCTGAAAACTTGCAGCCAGCCCTTCAATGTATCACACAAAATGGATACAGCTCCTCTACTGCTCATTCTGGGGCAATCTTAGGAGTATAGGGCTTAGTCCACATGCATATCGTGTTACAGGTTGGCGTTCCCTGCAAGCCTAAGTCAACTCGCATTGGCATATACTTGAAACAAATTAGCTTAGTAAACCGGAATTTTCAATTCTGTTGAAGGTAATGAGCGAAAACATATGCTGTTGAAATTTACGCAATGTTCTCACTAAAACTGGCCTGACTTCATCTATACTTTGTCAGTAAAAGATTTTAGCTGTTTAGGTAGTAAATACAGCAGCAACATGACTGGAATATGAAAATATGACAAAACTTATCCTGTCTACACTTCTGTCGCACTTAATGTCTTCTAATCCTACCCTTGCGTATTTGGGCTTTAAAAATGCATTGAAGCTTAGTACGAACATCGACTAACTACACTCAGAACCTACCTGTAGAAATAGCTTATACCTCTGGTTGTATTAGTAAATTACACAGTCGTTTACGTCATCTTATCGTCACCAGAAAAAGAAATCCCTGGCAGCATTTCGTGGCAGTTCGGATAGCTTTCGTGGTACTGTCAGACCAGTCTTATTTCCGGTTAATAAAGCAATTCGTTAAGCACCAACAGCGCTCTGAAGCATCAACTTGAGCTCACAGGTGTCATCAAGCGCGGTGATAACGCCAAGTTAGTACCTTGGACTTCGTATTGAGATATCTCAAAAGGAGTATGTACTTACACGCTATCTCAAAGAAATGTCGCTGCTATACTTTTCAAAGTTGTTGTGTGTGAAGTTTGTAAATTTTTTCCTGTGATTTTGTGATCAGCTATTGACCACAAGCTGGTTAGCTGGATTTACCGGGCTGTGAAATCGTAAAATAATTCTAGTGCTGCTAAACTATGGCTATCTATTTCGGATCATTTTTTTCTTGCCGAGGAGAATAATGTTTATTTTCTGCTTCTGCGTGTTCTAATATGATGCTATTGTTTCTCTTTGTTTTTCAGCGGCGAAAAGCTTTATTTAACGAAAGAGAAGAGAAAAGTGTGTTCCGGGTGGAAGCGCATGTTCCTCTGCTGTCTTCTTCTCGTGATTTTAGGCATCGCTGTTCTAGTGGGAGTGTTAGCAGCAAGTGAGTCCACTTTTGTGCTTGTTACTATGTCAAATAGGGTGTTAAATGTTGCAAAACATACAAGGAACAATTACTTTAAAGCCTGTAGTAATGTGCATCGGGCATGAATCTTGCGTTCGTTTTACTGCGCTACACTAGTGTGCTTAAGTGCGCTTCCCAGTCATCTATTACCATTTATTTTCACGTAAAAACATTTCGGCACATGCGTTTCAAAAGATCGCTTACTATTATTCTGTGACACTGGAGGTAATTGAAAGTCAGAATTAAGTTCCATAACTTAAGAAATTACCATCGAGTTGTTACACATTTGCGGCGGCGTGCAGAAATTAGAAAGCAACGCTTTAGGGTGCCTGACATGCTGTAGGCTGCTCACGAAATTATTCTCGTTTAAAGAAGTTGAAACGTAATCATCCAAATGTTACCACAGCCGTCAATATATTTTAACACACAACGAACTTGCACCCTCAGCGTCCGTTGCAACCTTATTTTTTAGCTTTAGATTTCTGCGAGAACTTATTTAGAAAGACGCTTGTCCACGTGGTCACTGAAGTGGATTAATGCATCTGTAACTGAATCGTTGGATTTCTAAAAGTTAGCTTCTGTGCATTGCAGACAGACCATGCGGGCAAGTTGTTGAAACTTCATGATAAATTTTTAAAAAGTTGGCTTCGGCGCAGTACAGTTGCACTATGCAGTCGAGCTAACCATTTGGCCATAACACCGAGCTCATTTTGCAATTATCCTGTGTCTCGTAAACCGCTGCTTCATTTTCACAATAAAAGCTCACTATGTTCGTGGTCTCTTACGTTTTGCCACTCGGTATTTCGCTTTCCTCGCAGCTGGGTTCCTGCTGAGTGATTCTAAGTCCTCTCCAAAGTCCGTTCACGTCGACCCCAGTAGTCCGAGCATGTACGCCGGCTCGTCGACGCTAAAAGGTGCGCCGCAGCCAAAAGAGACGAGCCCGCCACCACAGTCATTACCGCCATCATCGCCACCTGCAATTGTAGTCATTCCTATCACCACTACCACCAGTTTACCAACCACGCAACAACCGACCCGACCTCCGCCTTCAACGACAGTCAGCGAAACCGCAGTGACCTCAGTCGCCAGCATGAACCAGTCGACGACGCTGACGCCGCAGTATCCCTTAGTACCGATTGAAGTCACGGCAGAAAACGTAACCACGGAGTTTACGTCCCCGTTTGCCGGCTCCGTCGACTCTTCAGACACTACTACGAGCGTTCCGGTAACCAGTGATGCCTCGCTTACGACCACGGACTCTAACCAGAAGACAGAGGGGACCGACACGGTCGTTCCAGTGACCAGCGTTCCGCCGGTTACATCTCCTGTGACGACGGTTGAGAGTGTGCCGTCAACGTCGGCAGAAGACATCACACCAACAGTGACAGCTATGACGGATGCCTCTGAAGACACATCTACGGTCACTTCTCCCGCTCCTGTTGTAGGTGGGACGACCACCGAAGCCTCCACTACCGTAACAGATGCCTCGACGACGGCTGGAACTACCACGCAAGCTCCGTTCGCTGTAAATGACTCCGCGTCAACGATGATGACGACTTCTGAAACGGCGACCCCAACAGAGCTCGCGACTCTTGGCACGAGTGTGGTTCCTGAGGGAACGACGGCGGGTCCAGGAGCGGTTGAGACGAGAGCCTCAGTAGATAGCACAACGAGTGACTACGAGACGACGGTGGCATCACTGACGGAGCGCTCGGTGTTGACAGACTCTGGTGCAATGGCGACGATGACGACTCGTTTGCCGAGGGACGAAGAGTCGTCGACGGCGACGGAATCCTCAACAGCTGCAAGCACTGAAGAACGTACTCCCACTGAGGACTTCCCTCATCCTGGTAAGAACAGAAGGTTGACGTATTGGGGAGTAAATGTCGTTACATACAGAGAAATATCTTTGTAACCCACATCTTGAGTACCATTTACTCTACACTCAAGCCTATCTCTATGCACCTGATTACTACACAACAGTAGCGTGACAACTGCGACTTCAAGCATGATATTTAAAACTTAAATCATTCTAGATACACTCTTGAAAACTTAATAAGTTCACTTCGCTTTCGCCTAATTCCTCGTTTATTTTTTTAATTACATGACTTGTAATATATCAACTCTCAGCCACCACAATAGGCATCTAGTTGTGTACCTCAGGCACAAGATGTCTATCTCTCTGTTGCTCAAGAACATAGGCCTAAAAACAAACAGAAAGCGCAGAAAGGAGAGAGTGCGATGGCTCCGAAAAACACTAAAAAATAAGTCAAATGTTTTGTATGGGGATGCTCGAGGTATAATTTTAAACAGCTGTTGCATCTGTACTCAAGCAGCGTGAACAGCACGGTGACACTTACATTCGTTGTACACGTCCTCGATCGCCAAGGCAGAATTCTTGGCCATTGTCCTTGAGAACCTAAACGCAGGAACAGAGGGACGAACCGCATAGAATTACCATCTTCTACTCACAGGAAGCGTGCCGTTTCTTCTTAAAAGGCCGCCTTCCGATAAAAGAAAAGCTAATTCCTAGGCGGTAGACTGACGAACAAAGGCAGGCTGATCTGGTGTCCAGGACTCGCAGGCACGAAGGGAAACGAGAGTGCCATCGCTTTTGCTCGTGGGCTCACGAACCGAGCACAGCCTCTTCATCACTTCAATACTTCGAAACACTCCGGGAGGAAATTAACGAGGATGATAACGACCCATCCAGGAATGGCCCCTCGCGAAATTTTCGCTAACCAGCGAGGCACGTGACAAAAATACTGCGCCCCCCACGAATCATTAAAAGAGGCAGGACGCGATATACATCCGCAGGATTCAAACGGGGGTCTTTCCCAACCTTCGAAAACTATACAAAATTTTTCTAACGCTCTATAGACACGCCTATTCGTGATGTGGCAGCTCGCCATCGCTCTACCGCATTTTTTTAGGGATGCCTAAACTGACCAGCAAATTTAGATACCCCTTTTTGGCCAGTAGAAGCTCTCTGATGCTTTCGAGCAATGACAGGCACAGGTAGCCAGCTCTGAACCAGAGATACTGCTTACGCTCAAGGATCACACCAGACAGGCGGCAGCTGCCAGGGGAGCCCTGGACTGGCGGCCCCACCCATTGAGTTCATGACTCCTGTCCTAAACCCTCACGAATGAAGTTTTAGGGGTAAATCTCGTTACGGTATCGGGCATTCCATCCCTCCAGTGTACCCAGCACAGCATGTTCACAGACAAACAGACAGAGAGACGGACGGACGGACGGACGGATGGACGAACGCTTTACCCCGTTCATCAACATTCACTCCATAGATAAGCTGTAATTTTTTCCTTCCTTCTTTCCTTATGTATAAGTGGAAGGTTTCTTGGTTCGCTTTTTTTTTATCCGAGCTTGCGTTAGACAGAGCTAAAACTCAAGCGTGCACATGTGCCTAATTGTTTTTATACTTTGCATTCACACGTTTCTAATAAAAGCGGAAGCATGGAATATTTAACTCTATACTTATAGAACCTCGCGTGACACGTTGGCAAAGAAGTGATAGTTCTTCAAATTTCATGACCTGTGCAGATGTTTCCGTGCGTTTGTATGCGTGAGTCATCTACAGGTTCCACATGTAAGTGTATTTGGCTATCGCCTCTTAAGATGCTTGTTTTGGACTTACTTTCCAGGCGCAAACGCTGTTGTCGGTGAGATCACGCTGCCGGAGGAAATCTTCAGCGAATCCCTGAACAACAAGTCTTCGATAGAAGCAAGGGATCTATCCAACCAGCTGAAACAAGGGGTACGGTGATCTCGAGTCGTCATTCACTCACTGCAGACAAAACGGCATTCTTTTCTTTTTTTGAGCGATTCTTCGAGGACCGTTCGCGTATCTACATTAACACGCAAAAACGTGACATGAAGATTACGATAACTTCTTGAGCACCGGTTGTCGCCGGAGCTGATTTTTTCCCAAGCGTACTTGTATTGTTCGAGCTTCCATCTTCTTCGGAACTTCCACCTTTTTTGCCTGTATAGATTACATGGGATGTCGCACACTCCGGAGCGTTCGGAACTAATTCTGAGCCACCAGGTTGTCAATATCATTCATAGATTTATTATTTTCTTATAAGCGAAACTCTTGGAGTTAAAGTTAGAACGTCGGGTGTCTGCAAAAAGAAAAAAAAAGAAAAAAAAACCACCCTGCCGTTGTTTATTTGACGCGCCCACTGACGCAGACAGTTCGCGCAGCCGTCGCGTCGAGTTGGCCCGTCGCGTCGAGTTGGCCCGTCGTGTCGAGTTTGCCCGTCGCGTTGAGTTTGCCCGTCGCGCAAGCTCAGTACGAGCGAGGAAAGGACCGTGCTGCATATCGGGGTTGCCACAGCCAGAGAGAGGAACGAGAAAAAAGGAAGGCAGGGAGGTTAACCAGATGCTAGTATCCGGTATGTTACCCTACACTGGGGTTGTTGGGGAATAGGGGTTTGAAAAAGAAAGGGACAGACGGGGAAATGTTTCCTTGCCACAGCCGGCTTTGCACGTTAATTATGGCGCTGGGGTTGGGACATTCTTGCGTGGTCCGTGACGGGCTGTGGTTCGACTCTACCTCGTCTACGCCACGTAAACATCAAGCGTGAACCAAGAAAGCCACATTAAGCTTCTAATATCAACCAGCTTCGCTGCTTCTTTAAGCTTTACGAAGCTATGTGTAAAAACGCTTCCCCAACGGCCCATCTTTTTTTGTGTGTGTTTCTTGCATCTCATCTGCTGTAACTGTACTAATGTTAAACACATGCATCGACTACTACAGTAAAAAAAAAATATTGAACTGCCGTACATTCTTTAATACACGCACGTTTTAGTTCTAGCGTTTACTCGCAACGTGCCTGGCTCTCAGACATTTCACTTTTCATGCGTCGCGCCGGCGATTAGTCACAGCGTAAGCAGTCTTCAGTGGTTGTGATGGCCGTTTCTTATTCATATGTATAAAACGACATGCACGACTCTTTTTTTTAACACAAGTTTATTGTGAAGTCGATAACATTCTCCCCTATTTCGCAAAGTATACTCTTGTTCATATTGCTCGTGCACTTCGTGCTTGCATAATCTTATCGTCCTCTTCCTTTTTTCATAGTTAGAAGACATCCTGAAGGGACTTGGATACCGCTACGAGACCGTGGACATCCTGAAGTACAGGTACGCCAGCGGGTGCCCCGAACGCATCTCCATCTTTTCAATGTTTCGGCGGTCAATGTTTGTTTACTTTTCATTTTATCTGCACTCTCTGGACGCACCTCTCGCATTTCTCTAACCTCTACTCGTCATTACGATTCACGCAGACTGCATTTGTATGCCACATACCGGAAACGGGCGATTCCTTCTTTATCATACTTTTTTGGGCTGCTCGTAGACAGGTCAATGCATTTTCGGTGTTGGCTCGTGAAGTTCAAAGGTCTCGTACGTGAACGACCGCCCGAGGTCCCCGAAAACGTTGGACCGCGATGTACTGTGCACTGCTGCGACTGTTTATCATTCCAGCCGGCGGGTAGTTGGACGAGGTCATTAAGATCGCACGTCCTCGTGTTTGTGAGGACACGTGAGAGCTGTGTCCTAACGAGGACTGTGGCCGTGTTTCTTTCTTTCTTTCTTTCTTTCTTTCTTTCTTTCTTTCTTTCTTTCTTTCTTTCTTTCTTTCTTTCTTTCTTTCTTCCTTCTTTCTTTCTTTCTTTCTTTCTTTCTTCATTTCTTTTCTTTTTCCTGCTCTCGCCGGCCAATGTTACAGGAAAGGCAGCGTGGTGGCTTCCTTCGTGGTGGTCGGCGGTGACCTGCCTGCGGCCAAGGTCAAGGTGGCCATCCGCGACTTCCTGGCCAAGAACAACGGCACCCTCAGGGGACGTCCCGTGGACTCGGAGTCGGTAGTCGCCAAGGGTGAGCCATTACCGTCTCGCCCTCCCGGGGTGTGCGACCAGTGTCTGCGCTCCTCGTACTCCTCCTAACGATGGACTGGGTGCAACAGAACCGAGTTGGCCCGCAATGCTGTAGTGCGCGGTAGGCCTGGTGTGTCCCGTCGAGTGCGTACACGTCGACGTGCGAAACAAACGAGAAACGAAAGGCCGGCTTATGCATATTCTCTTAAATTTAATGTACGTACATTTGTAGAAGTCCATGATACGCAACAACAGTACATAAAACAAATTTTCCTTTTAACAACATCGAGGCCTAGTGATTCTCAGGTCCTTAACCAAAAAAAAAACAATCTTGTGATAAAGCCAGGTTATGTGGGGTGCGCTTACTTTAAAAAATGCGTAACATACTATATTGAAAACATATAATCATAGGAAGCATCCTTACGTGCTCAACATGCAAATACGAAAAGAGTTTGCCTAAAATATTATCATGGTTTCACCATCTGCCAGTTAAAAGACAGTGCTCTGCTCAGATAACTTTCATCGTACTGCATTTAAAAACACTTATTAATGTCAGCTGTAGGAAAGGTTGATGTCCTTATTTGAGCCGTCTACTCCTTCTCGCAAAGCAATGTAATCTCGATTAAGAGGGGACAGTTCAATGTGACAGACATCTCCTAAAGTCGCGTGTTGTGTCGCTTCTTCGGTGTATGTTTACAACTCTTCTCATTCCAGCTTCTTCTCAAGCACAAACGACAGATAACAAAAACAGGCATAACTGGTGA